TAGTGCATGTTGCCCTTGGTGGACTCATGAAGACTTTATAGGTTGGTGAGGTCTCCAAAATGCATATTACTTAAAGTAAGACCAGATCAAATTTCCATTTAAGTCACTGGTGGTCTTTCCATTGACTTAAGTGGAAGCTGGGTCAGATCCATAGTCCTTGACTAGTATCAGTCATCTGCAATTCTTCTGCCTCCAAAAATTAGAAACAACAAAGAAAGGACCTTGACAAAAAATTGACAACCACCACCAAAGAGAGACGAATTTACTGAATTTTTACTGCAATAAAACACTAGGTAATGGGGGGCAGTACACTTAAGTGATCAAAACGCAGTGAAGTGGGGATCAAGATTCCTAGTTTCTTATTTATCAAAGACCCAATGAAAATACTCTTAATATATTTAAAAGGCTAAAGCACAGCAGGGGGGACCTGGTGCGAGCTGACAGGCTCTTAATACATTTAAAAGGCAGAGCCGCAGCAGGGTTAGCTCCTGGGGCCGGAAGCTAACCCTGCTGCGGCTTCCCCACTTATTGACTAATTGACTAGTCGATGAAAAATCCATTGACTAGTCAATTAGTTAAATAACCTATATTTAACATCCCTACTTCCACCCCCTTTACAAGTTTCTCTCTGTCTGGCTTCTAGACATGACCTTAAGGGAAGCCCTTAAGTCCTGGTAAATTGCAGGGGCCAGTGGGGGACAAAGGAAGCAGTGTGGGGAGGCAGGAGGGAAGACCCAAATCACAGACCCCCAGCAGAAGTTGCATGTGGGGAAGGAAGCTCCAAGCCCCTGGCAGAAGCTGCAAGGGGGGGCCCTCAGAGCCCCATAATTTAGAAGGATGGCCTGGAAATTCATCTCCTCTTGAGCTGCTTTGTTCCACTCTGGGGGTATGTCTAGACTGCATGCCTCTGTCGCCAGCTGTTTGTCGGCTCAGTGCGGCCCAGCTGATCAGCTGTTTGTCGGCTCAGCGCGGCAGCCATGTAAATTTAAATGAAGCGGCGATTACTTAAATCGCCGCTTCATTTTACTATGTCTGGTAGCCTAATCTACATGCCTCTGGCGACAGAGGCATGTAGTCTAGACGTACCCAATATGTCATACATTCCAAATCAAGACAATTGGACCTCCACAGCACTAGTAGCCCTAGGAGTATGGGAGACTGGGAGAATGCAGCATGGTTCTACCACAAAGTGCACCCTGGGCACATAGTCACAGGGAATACTATCAATAGGCCAATGGGACCAAAGTAAAAATCAGTGCTGAGTCGATAATCTCATCAATTAATCTCCATTTGCGATGGCACTAACAAATAATTTCTTGTGTACTGTTTTATCTGAAATATGCTAACATTTGTCAGTGACACCAAGGGAGACCTGGGGCTTGATTCTTCTCTCACTACCAGCAGTGTAAAAGAGGAACAGCTCCCCTGAAATCAGTGGAATTACACAGAGATAGAATTTATGTCAGAGAAGAATTGGGACTCTGTTAGCAGGTTACATAAAGGCACATTAATATGTTTACGGAATCACTTCACTTACTGCTGGGATGAAGCCACTCTTCGGGTGGAACATGCCAGCTCTTTCACAACCCCAAGTGCTACCTCCCCAACCCAACTCTTGTGCCATTCCATGAGATCGTTACAGATCAGTCGTGCTCAGGACCTTGGTTCCATAACTCCTCTGAGAGACAAAGTTTGCTCTTTCTTTGTGTTACTATTTTTATCCTTGTATTTTTAACCAAAATATTTTCCACTCTAATTTCTTCCAGATGGGAAGACATTTTTTCCATAGCAGTGTTGTCCAGACAACATATCCAGTGCATAGACACCAAAGGACACAGTGGTACTCAGGAGAATTTATTGCTAAGTTCACCTGCCATGGTCAGGGGGGTTATTGTTATGATGGAGGAAAAGAGCCCAGGAATGCAATGCTCAATAATGCTTCTCGGTATCTTCATGGTATTTCATCTAACTTCTTGCTGTTCTGAGCTGTCTCCCTTCTTCTCTGACTTAAGCACAGCTATTCCCAGAAACAAGCAACAGATTCCCAGCTGCTGCTCTCTTGTGCAACAGTTTTCTAATCAGTCTCAGAGGGGTAGTCATGTTAGTCTGTAACTTTAAAAACAAAGAGTAGTTCTGTGGCATTTCCAGCCCATTTAATTAGCTGCATTAGCACCGATCCTACAAGTGACAGGTATCTCCTCCCTCCTTTTTTTTTCTGTTATAAATTCTGGATTTCTATTATGCCTCCCCAGATCATCTGAAGAAGTGGATTTTGCCCATGACAGCTCATGATACTATATATCTTTCTGTTAGTCTCTAAGGTGCCACAGGACTACTCGTTGTTTTTAAAGTTTCCTCATCAGTGCATCCATGGTTTTCCTGCAAGCATACAGGAAAGCCCTGTCTCCTATTCTACTCGGAACAGCTACTCTACTCCATATGTATGTGCAATCATTGCTAGTGCCTTGAAGGACAGAATACCAGTATACTTACTCCAGCCCTGGCATGGGGGATGGACAAGCTGACCTCTTCAGGTCCTTGCCAGCACCCTATTTCTAGGGCCATGTCCAGACTCAGGGGTTCTTTCGAAAAAAGTAGCCTTTTTTCGAAAGAACTTCCCCTGCGTCCAGACTCAAGCCGCGTTTCTCTTTTGAAAGATCCGCCTGCAGTCTAGATGCGATCTTTCGAAAGAGCCTCTTTCGAAAGATGCTTTCGAAAGAGCCTCTTTAGAAAGAAGCCTGCAATCTAGACATAGCCTAGGATTCTAGTACTGCCAAGCCCAAACCTTCAAAAATAAGGAGTCAGACCCCAAAGCATCATGAGGCTGGCATAAATTTTTTTTTTAAATAATCTTTTTGGTATTCTTTTTATTTGCCTTCTGATCTTTGAATTTAGGGTACATTGAGCGGGGGGAGGGGGACCTATTTCCAAGCTTTTCTCCTCAACTGTGAGGGCTAGAAATGTACTTGTTTTTAAATAAAAGCAGAGTTACCGTTAATCACGGAACTCCAGAAACAAATCTCACAAGTGTCCTAATCAAACTGCAAGAGCCATGCTGTTTTCACTTTTTGTTGCACTGCAGGTGATGTTACAGCAGCAACAAATTGGCTTCTGTTCTTTCTGGGTCCCTGGCTTGGAAGCAGGCCCTTTCCTACCTACCTACCTGTGACAGGCTCCTATAAGGGAGAACAAGCCAACTCTACCTGGCTGGTTGGGTTAATTAGCTAATGACCCAGATAAAGGATCACCAGGGGCTCCACTGTGGTGGTTCCCAGACAGTTGGGACTGGACAACAGGGGTAGATTACTCAATCAATTACTCTGTGCCGTTCATGCCTTCTGATGCATCTGGCACTGGGTGCTGTTGGATCACTGCTCTGAACCAATCTTGCCATTCTTACGTTCCTAGAGGGAGCTCCAAGGAAAGCTGAGCAAGAGAACTCTCTAGCACAGGGAGTCTAGAGGATGTGCTCCTAGAACTAGGAAACTGCCAAATAATGCCAGGAAGCCCAGCCAGTCAGGAACGACAGGCTGCCCCACGGAAGAGCTGCAGCAGACAGATCTCTGCACACCCCTAACTCTGGGGAAGGTTTCTTTGGATACTGGAAAGAGACCTGCTGTGAGAGACCACCTTAGAGACCTGCTGTGAGCCAAACCGAGAGCACATCTGGAAAGGAGCAGTGGATATGGATGGGAATACATAAACTGAGACTGACTCTGTTAACCAGCTAAGATATTTAGGTAAAGACTTGCTTGTATTTTCATTGGGTCTTTGATTAATAAAATGGATTCCGCAGAAGGTATATTTTCCCTAAGTAAAGCCCTGGTGAACTTAGTGATTATATCAAGGGAAACTGAGACAGGGCACTCCCCTACAGTGCCAGATATGGCCAGGAGGGAGCATAAAGGGAAGGTACACCCTGTGACAGTCACCATCAACAGAACTGCTTGCTAAATTTGAGTCACTGACACCTATAGAAACTTGGTGAAGACAATGGATCTGCTTAAAGGGCATAACTTGACCTGAAGAACTTTGATACTGAAGTAGATATATGGGAAGGATAGAACCCAGATGGACTCTCAGATCCCAAGCTGAATTTACAAAGCAGCTTGTTAAAAAATAAAATCCTTTTTACTTGTGGGTTGAGCACATTAGATACGGAGATCACTGAAAGGCAAATGCTACAGAATCCCACAATCCTGTTTTTACAGGGTCAGTCTTCAGAATAAAACCCCATTCTAATCTCATCTGCTACATTTTCTGCACTTCCTGTCCTCTTCTCTCTGTATGTCTTTCTTATTCCATGCTGTGCAACCTACTCTTAATGTGGGGTCAAATCTATCGATCTTTAGTCCTTATGTAGGCACAACTCCCACTGGAGTAAGGACTTGTCCCAAAAGGATTATACTGGAGTATTATTATTTATCTCTACTGGACAATTTTGACAAAGAAAGCGAAAGATATAAAACTTAAAATGGAACAAAAGAACTTTTTTTTTTTTTTTTTTTACACATTTAACTGACCCGTGGAACTTATTGCTCCAAGATATCACTAGGACCAACATTTCAAAAAAGGAGGAGATGGTTATGTGGTTATTGAGATCATCACAATTATATCAGATAGGATGAAAATGAATGAATTAGGGATAAAGACCCTCATACTTCGGGACATAAACCATCCACTGATGGGCAGATGCTTTCTTTAAGGAGGTTTCTTGCCTATTCCTCTGAAGCAGTTGGTACTGGCCAATGTCAGATACTCGATACCAGACTGTGGCTATGTCTAAACTACAGTCACCTATAGGAAAAAGGTATGCAAATTGTGCTCTGCAATCAGCATACCTTTTTCCTATAGTTTTTTCAGAAGAGGCTTTTCTGAAATTTGGCCCGTCTACACTGGGCCAAATTTCAGAAAAGCCTCCTCTTTTGGAAGAGTCCTTCTTCTTTGTAGGAAGAGGAAGACAGGGCTTCCAAAAGAGCGCGTCTGTTCTTCCGCAAAAAACCCCCAAAACCATAGTGTAGACATAAAATGAAACAACTGGCTAATTCTTATTCTTATTTCATTTGTTGTTATTATTTATTATTTTTCAATAATGACATAGCTATAATCGAGGTTCGCCAAATGGTGGCGAGCCAGCCACGCGGTTCTGCGCTTTGCGCATACGCAGATCGCTCTGCGCCGACTCTTCTGGGTTGTAATCTACTCGCCATGGGCAAGTAGATTACATTATTTGTCGAGCCCTGGCTATAATAATGTTTTTGAAATGTACAGTATAAGAATAACTTGCAGAACCTGCTGGACGAGATGTGTGTCTATCTGGAAGGTTCCCTCAGAAGATTTCCTGAGGGTTCAGGAACCTTCAAGATTTTATTCTCCATTACTCCAGCTACAGTTATGTACACTAGTGCAAAGTGCCACATCGGAATGGTGGCATTTCACACCCACTTGCCACTAGCTTTTCCATGATGTAAATAACTACACAGAGAATCAGGCCCACACTGTCAGTATTTGCAGAAGCCTTCTGGCTGGTCTCCATAACCATGGTTTTCTTTCCGGTTAAGTACCCTTACCAGAATACTGGGTTGCTTGCTGCATGCTGACCACATTCCTTCTTTGGTCTTTGTAATCTGGTGGTGGCCTTGTCAAGTGTCGGTTCAACTGATCTTGTGGAGCAATTTTCTCCTAGAGGATTAGAACAGAAATGGAAACACGTTACTTGGTTTTCTTTATATTTTCTACGCACAAAGTTGAAGCTGTTCCTTCCCTTTGCAATACCCTGCCACAGCGGAAGTGCTAACCAAAGTGTTCAAATTGCTCCTTATGTGCCCAATCCATTAAAGCCAGTGAAAGTCTTCCTTTGATTTGAATAGCTTTCAGTGTGGTCCTACCTCCATTAAAATTACTGTCAAGTGGATCAAGCCCTAGCAGTCAAGTAGTCTGTTTTTCCTTATTTTGTGTCCCAATAACTCAAACAAATCTGTGTCAGCTGATAAGTTTGTACTAATGTAATCAAGCCATGATTCTAATTGGGGCCATCAGGCACTGCCATAGTATTAATAAGTAACCTCAATACTACTAGTCTGGTCTCAAAGAAGAAAAAAGCAAGAAATAGTGAAAAACTGAGGCCTGGGAACTAAAATTTGAGCCTCTGCCCTTCAGCCTTTCTACCCCTTTCCCTTTTCCCCAAAGTCAACCCCTTTCCTCTTCCTCCTTCCTCTCCATTGACCCATTCTGCCTACACTGCACTGCTGATGAAATCCCCTCTGTGCTCCACTGTCTGGCTGCCAGCCCTTGTACTAAGATTGTGCCTCTGAGAGGTGATGCAGAGATGCTGGTAGCAGGAAGTGCACAGGCCTGTAGGAAAATGGCCTTGATAGCTAAAAGAAGCCAACCCCTATAGTGGGAAGGCTTGTGCTCTAAGGCCTTGATTTCAATGGCTAAGTCTGCGACATAGGGAGAAGAGGGGCACTGTGATGGGGGGGAATGGCCAGCATATGATTAAGGGCTGCCTGTCAATTCAGATGGACTGTAAAGGGGGGGAAGGATGTGTCCTCTTCTAAGGAGACAGAAATGTAGCCTGTTTTCACTCAGTGTGCAGCAGCAGTCAAAAAAGCAAACAGAATGTTAGGAATCATAAAAAAAAGGGATAGAGAATGAAACAGAAAATATCTTATTGCCTCTATATAAATCCATGGTACGTCCACATCTTGAATACTGCATACAGATGTGGTCACCTCATCTCAAAAAAGATATATTGGCACTGGTTAAGATTCAGAAGAGGGCAACAGAAATGATTAGGGGTTTGGGACAGGTGCATATGAAGAGAGATTAAAAAGACTGGGACTTTTCAGCTTAGAAAATAGGAGACTGAGGGGGGATATGATAGAGGTCTAAAAAATCATGACAGGCGTGGAGAAAGCGAATAAGGAAAAGTTATTAACTTGTTCCCATAACATAAGAACTAGAGGTCACCAAATGAAACTAATAAGTAGCAGGTTTAAAACAAACTAAAGGAGGTTTTTCTTCATGCAGTGCACAGTCAACCTGTGGAACTCCTTGCCAGAGGATGTTCTGAAGACCAGGAATTTAACAGGGTTCAAAAGAGAGCTAGATAAATTCCTGGAGGTTAGGTCCGTCAATGGCTATTAACCAGGATGGGTAGGTATGGTGTCCTTAGCCTCTGTTAGTCAGAGACTAGAAATGGATGACAGGAGTGGGATTGCTTGCTGATTACCTGTTCTGTTCACTCCCTTTGGGGCATTTGGCATTGGCCATTATTAGAAGACAGGATACTTGGCTAGATGGACCGGTGGTCTGACCCAGTATGGCCATTCTTATGTTCTTGTGTTTTTCCCGAGGAAAAGGCCTGAAAAGAGACTTAGGCTTAGCCCTAAATTCTCCCTGGGCTGCTGAAGGAGTGTACCGTCTTGCAGCCATTGAGTTCAAGGTGTTAGATTCATAATCTGACTATGTCAACAGCACAAATCACACTCTCCTCATCAAGAGCTTGAGTCAACACACTCTGAACTCAGTGGCAAAACCCCTGTTGATTTTAAGGGTGCAAGACCAGGCCTAATACTCCTCCAGGAGTGTGTAGGCAAATACAATCTTGTTTGACTCAAAAATCTGTCTCCGGAACATTATTCATAAATTCACAAGCAATGACACCACCCAGGAATTGTGTTACTGTCCCTTATCTCCTCAATCTCACACTTTCTCCTCAGCGTGCCCAGCACTGCACTTGCGTTTCACACTTGGGAATAGTGTGGGCCTCTGGTCTGAGGCAGGCAGAACAGGAGCAGCCTCCACCAGAAAAATGCTTGGAAAATAATATAAAAAAATAGGCCTCTTGGTTTAGTGCTCCATTTGTAAAAAGTGGTGGGCGCATCTCTCGCCCTCACCCTGTTTGATTCTCTAGTACAGTGTTCCTCAAAATGTGCTCCGAGGAGCCCCAGGGCTCTGTGAGACATCTCCAGGGGCTCCGTGAGGTTGACAAACTGGAAACATCGATAGGTACAACACATACCGCTGGGGCTCCGCATATATTTTTTGCATGTAAAGGGCTCCGGAGCCCAAAAAGTTTGAGAACCGCTGCTCTAGTAAATACATGCCAAAAACCAGAAGCCCAAGTTGTGACACGCTCCATGAGTTTTCAACACTTCAGACAGAATCTGCTCACGTCTAACAGCCCAGCTTACACACCAGTGAGCTGGGGATGTGTTCTCTACAGGTTCACAGGGGTAGCATGTGGGTGGTCTCTGAAGATTCCCATCATCTGCGAGCAAAGGAAGCTGAATATTCTTTGCATCCAAACAGTCCTGGGTCTCTGCAACCTGCTTTCCCTGTGAACCTGCCAGCAAAGTCTGGCCAAATTCTCGCCTTTATCTGAAACACAAGCTATATTTGGGACAGAGGAAAAGAAGAGATTTTTTGAGCAGAGGTGAGGAAGGTGGCAAGTTGTCATCTGCAAACCTCTAAGGGCATAGATTTCAGAATCATGATTAGAACAAGGCCTTGTCTACACTACAGTTTAATCAATAAAAGTCAGTTTTTATTGATAAAAGGTATACACACTGAAATGCTCCGCTTGCCATAGTACCTCCCCTGCTACTCTGACAAAATTAAACCATCATGACAAGCAGCATCGAGTTTTTTGTGATGTAGTTATAGCGATGTAGACACTGCCCTTGCTGACACTGCGTTAACTGGCCTCCAGGAGGTATCCCACAATGCCCATCCTGGTTTGCAGTTTGAACTCAACTGCCTCACAGCTACACAGGCATGCGCCTCTCTGTTCTAAAGCTCAGAAACTTTTGACATTTCTTTTTCCATTTGCTCAGCATGGACTGTTCAGACAGCATCTTCCCAGCTGACCATGCCGGCTGTCCGCCACAGATGTAGTCCTGCCTAGAATACATTGGAGCTGTCGGATCAGCTGGGTCTTCGGGAAGAGGAGGCTATGCAGTCAAAGCTCCGCTCCAGCTGGAGGAACTTTGACATCTGTGGCGGATTGCTTGTGGCATGAAGAGAAGGGACACGAAAGGGATGTGCAACAGTGCTGTGCTAAGATCAAGGCGCTGAGGCAGGTGTGCCAGATGGCAAAGAAGGTAAACTGTTGCTTTGGTGCAGCACCCATGAGAACCTGCTTGCTATCCTCAGCAGTAACCCCGCTTCCACTGGCAACAGTTGGGGACGGGGGACTGAAGGCTGTGGCCAGCAAAGTAAACCCCAAGGATGAGGTGGTAGGTGAGGAAGTGGAGTTGGAGGATTCTGTGGGACATGTGACAGGGCCATCTGGAGGCATGGCAAAGCCAGACCCTATTTTTGACTCCGGAGGGGTTGAGCCCCAGTCCCAACATTCCAATTCCGGTGCTCAGGAAGCCCGAGGGGCAAACCCTGGTAAGCACACATTTTGGTTTAATATTGCATAGGGAGGGACAGACAACTGAGGTCTCACTTCTTTGTCATATGGTAGAGGATGGTTAAGGAATAGAAATTAACAATAGCGCCTACGCAGCTACATCATGGGGGCCTGGCAGAAAAGTTGTTAATGTGCATCAGGATGTATTGGGAATCCTCCATAGAGAGCTCTAGGAAACTTTGTTTAGATACTATGTAATCCTGACAGTTCCTTGGCAGAGCTGCCTTGTTCCTCCACCTCCCCTCCCTCGTAGGAAACTTTGCCATGCCAACAGGCAATTATTTCTGCAGGGAGCAAAGCAACACACAGACAAGCAGCATCTAGACCTCTCAGAAGCTGCACACATGCAAGCAATGCACTCTTGCATCCTGGGTTACCCTTAGGAGTGAGGTATCGGGTTTGATTACCCCATCCTGTGGAAAAGGGTGCCAATATTCAGAATATTCTCCTTAGGCCCTTTCTGCAAACCACGCAGACCCATGGTCTCCTCTTGCCCATTCCCCCTTCCCACCATATTTGGTTTGGGACTCTCGCCAAGCTACGAGCTAGCCAAAGGACAGTGAGGAAGAAATACATATAACTTTTATGAGTCATGGCTGAGAGTGGACATATAATACCGTCTCTGTTCATTATTTCTTTGGCTTCAGGAGATGTGTCCTTAAGGATTAACTCAAGCACACCAGCCGAGCACTTCTATTAGATAAGGAGGTGAATCAAGAGGAGGAAGAAGGATATGTTTTGCAAAGCACTGCAGTCAACACACACAGCAGATAGAAACTGAGAGTATTGATGGAGACATTTAATGAAAAACTCAGGCTGGACTCTGTTGCAGCCAATTCAGAATGCGGTTACGTGCCTGTGACGGACCCTCCTGCCTTATGAAATGGACTCATGGACACAAATGTACATAACTCAGAGATGCTTGGGACAAATTACCTCATGTAGCCTATCAACCTTAATGTCATAATCTGCTGGAATCTGTTTCTCTTATTTTGGTATATGTGTCATTCTTGTGTGTAAAGTTAGATATACGGAGAATGGAATGCTTTATGGTTTTGGATGTGCGAATGAAATCTGTCAAGGGTGTTACCCTCAATATCTAGGTGACCAACTGTAAATGGCCTCTTTTGTCCTTTGCGTCTTAGGAGTGGTTAGTTCAAGGGAGGTGGTGGAATCTCCCTCTCTGGAGATATTTAAGAACAGGTTAGATAGACATCTGTCAGGGATAGTGTAGATGGAGCTTGGTCCTGCCTTGAGGGCG